TTTTAAACTTGAAAGGAGAACCACTGTGACAAAAATCTAAACTCTGTGGTGTCGGCTTAGCAGTCAGGTGGCAGGGAGACACTCATGGCGGGCTGGGAGGTTGGAGAGCTGTGTTTGGGGGTTGTACTTGGTAAAACTGCCACGACTGGCAGGATGATGTCACTGGCGCCATAGCGGGTCCAGGGGAGACAGTCGAAAAGAGACAGAATATAGTGCGTTGGTTGCTCTTTGCTGCTGACAGCAAGGAACGAGGAGAAAGGAGCTCAGGCGAAAATGAACTCATATGAAGAGTCAGCTTCTGATGGTGAAAAACACAACATGTGGGTGCTTCTGTACACCCACAGCCAGAGATGAGGGTGCAAACCACTTTGCGTGACATAGGCCCTTAAATAGTGAGTCTGGGCTTTGGCTAGGATCAGATTAAGGCGGCCACCCTTCAGTCCCAGGGGGGGAGAGAAGCATGAGACAGAGAAAGAAAGTAATACGACAGACTGGAAAGTTCTAGAAAAGAACTTTGGGGACAGTGGATTACTGGCATAGATAGGTAGCAGCCTGCTAAGTTTCTGAGGGAATCATTGCCAGAGGGATCTCAGGCTTGTTGTATAAACACATAAAGTCTTGGACCGGTCCCCAAACTGGCACGAAGCGGGGAGTGGGCTTGAAAGCTTGCACAGCTACCAGGGAGGTGGCCCCCGACGCCCACCTGTAATGTCCCCAGGGAGGACTCGTCCCCGAGGGCAGGGTCAGGCGCGGGAACACCCGAGGAGGGCGTGCCTCCCGGGGCGCTCCCTCCCCGTCGTGGGTCTTCGCCACGTCCACGTAGCAGTATTTCGTCACTCCCAGAGCCCAGTGGCTTCTGTCTCATCCTTTTCCCAAATGGGACTTTTCATTGCAGTCGTCCTGTCCCTGCTTCATTCACCAGGGACTGGGCACCGGGGGCAGGGTTAGGGGGTCGGGTCTCTTTTTAGTTCACAGGGGCCAGTCTCCAAGAAGCCATGCTGAACTGATGGACAGGGCAGCACAGCCTGAGAACTGGGCCCTGGGAAGGACGCAGGAAGCGGGCTCTGGGTGAGGAGCACAGACGAGGTGGAGCCCCAAATCTTTCATTTCCCTCCTGGGCACACATTTGGAGTTAGGCTATGGGTCCGTGACTGGCACTCTGGCTACCGAGGCGGAAGGGACACATGCGGCTTGCCCTGTCAGGCGTCCCCTCCTAGCCCCACGACAACTGTTGTGCAGACTCTGGATTTAAGGTAGCCGTGCAGCCTACACGGAGTAGGTCCCGTTGCCTGGTGGCCATGCTGCGGCAGAAGCCAGCGACACATGGGCAATGTCTCACCACAGCCAGCCTGACTTTGCACAGGCTGCCCCCCAGGGAAGCGGGGTGCATTCCACTGTGAGAAGAGAACCCCCAGAGCAGACTGAGACAGTGGGCTGCAGTTGCTACTCAGTCTCGTCTTCTCTGCCCCCAGCCTCCCTCGGGAATGAGCAGACGTGAGGCTCCGAGTCTCGGCTCGCAGAACTGCCCCCCGCCCTCCGCCCCTGACGTGTCCCTCCGGGGTCGTTCCCACACGCTGAAGACAGTAGGGCCTTGGGGAGCCTGGGTCTCGGAATGAAGGCACGAGGGCCACCCCGCCCACCCATTCCCCAGCCCGGTGTTTCGGGAGCAAGAAAGTTCTTTTGTGTTTGAGCCATGGTATCTTTTTTTGGGTCTATTTATTACAGAACTAGCATTCCCCTAATACAATCATTGCTAAATGGCCATAATACATTTATGCTATAATTGCACATCATTTTAATCACCAAAGGAATGTCCTTTTCTCACGAGATTCTAAATTTTCAGAGCTGAAGTGTTAGAAGTTAAAGTTGCTGCAAGGCAAAGGATAAAAACACAGCGAGGTAGTTGCTAGAGTTGTCGGTAGTGTGGTTGTCAAACATCCACCAGGTGTGCCACCTACAAGCGGGGTGCGCTCACCTCCCCCGTCTGCACAGCGGAATGACTCTCAGCCAGGGTCAGCAAACGATGGCCCGAGGGCCACATCCAGCCTCCGGCCTGTTTCTGTACAGCCCTCGAGCCAAGGAAGGTTTTTACATTTTTAAAGGCAAAGAAGAAGAAGTGACAGAGACCGTGTGCAGCCTGCAAAAACACTCGCGACCTGGCCCTGCCTTACCGGGTTGCTGTGAGGACGATCCACAGTCTAGGCCAGCGCCTGGCTCAAAGTAAGCACGCAATACAAGGTAATACATGCAATACAACTATTAATGGCTCCGAAAATAAACTGCCACGTAGCCGAATTCCGCATTGCGTCTAGGTGAACGTTCTCTCTCCTCCCCTCCAAGAAACAGGAGACAAACACAGAGCGCTACATCGTGGTCATTACAGCCACAAGATACCTTCAAATTAAAAAGTTGCTGGTAGTCCAATTTCACACACCTGGAGTATGGTCTAAGAGAAAGAAATAGTCCCCCTTACGGCAAAGGGACTTGACGGTAGAACAAAGCCTAGAACGTGAGAGCATGACCCGACTTAATACATTAAGACTGAGACATTTTAAAATTAGAACAAGACATTAAGTAGATACTGTAAAATGTTAAACTGATTTAGCTACAATATTGAACGCTGATTTTCCCAATGAAACCATTTTGCTGCGTAAATACACCCATAATGGAGATCTATGACGAGGTTCAGGCAGAGACAACAGAGAGCCGGCCTTTCAAAATCTGATTCCGTGGATCACGTTTCCAAACGAGACACTTGGCAAAACTGGTCTGATGACAAGATGGACTAGTTTTGGCTAGAACTGCTGCCTCACTGAGACGGTTTCCCAAAGGAGGTCTGCAAGCATGGGACCACGGGGATGCTGGGTGTGTGCACGGGTTGGGGGAGGTTCGTTCCAGGATCTGGGAAGTCAGGAAGACACGGCATGGCACTGTCCTCTTGGAAAGTCACAATGCACAACGGCGTGTTAGGGGCTCTGAGAAGCACGCCG